CGTTAAGTAGTCGACGTACGTCCTTCCTCGTCTTCCTACTTAGTTTCGTTCTAACGGACGTACGGCGTCGTCCTAACGGGTAAGGAAGGACGAAGATAGACTACTACTCTCTCTCTCTCTCTCTCTCTCTCTCTCTCTTTGACTTATGTAAAAGAAACTTTTTAAAGCTTGGAATGAAAGCATACAGTCTCATCTCACATCTGTAATCAGATTTACGACTCTAAACAATAGGACATCATAAATATAAGATTTTAAATGAAGTATATGTTCTCATAACTAAGAGGGATGGCTTACACAATCGAACTTAATAAAACAATGGGTCACTCTAAACTATGTCTAGTTCAAATTAAGAATCTAAAATAATGGAACTTTGTGCTATGCGAAACGGGACTGGATTTTAACATCATCGAACTTGTGATTCCTAATTACTGGGAACTTCAGACAATGGCAATCTCTAACCTGGGATTATTCGTTTATGAAAGTAGAACCTCTAAACATGGAACCCAATATTTTCATATACCAAAACCTTGGACCATGGTTGATGGGAGTTGGGTTCTATTTCGAAATGGAATTGGATTCCACTGACGGATGGAACATGGTCCCTTTTTTGGGAGCGAGATCCCAAAATCGAAAAAAGGGTCCCCACAAGATCCCTTGTAGGAAACGTAGGATCGCGGTTCTGGAGCGGGATCGTAACCCTACCCACAAGGTTCCCTTAACTATGTTTCATACCCAAATGCGAACATGCATGATGTTGTTGAAAGAGGTACTTACCAGGTCCCCCTGGTCTCCATGCCTTAGGAGGCCACTGAAGGACTAAGTGGAAGCAATGTTAAGTCACAGAACTGGTGTTCTAAACCTTCCCATAATGAATTTGTTTTTTGCATTTAAAAGAAATACGTTCTTATTTAACACTAGAAAGAAGGAGTCTATTCTTAGGGTGGTGACAGACATCGAGGGGGAGTTTTCTGTGAAATTGATGCATCAGATGCATACATGAAGTCCTGAACCAAACCTTGTGGTGAGCAAGTGCGGTATGTTCCCATCCAAAACATAGTGCCTCTCATGGCTGGTTTTCCAGGTGATCATATTGAATAACAGAGGAGTTATGGTTATTCCTAATGTTTTGGCGATGCACAAACAGGGACCTAAATTGGTGAACTATCTATTCTTACATTGCTTGGCAACAAGCTCCATATGGGCCTCTGTACTAGATTTGTTTGGGCTTGTATTAGGTAAGTTCAGTCTCAGTTTAAGCATAACACTGCAGTGGTTTACTCTACCATTCCTAAAGTGCAGCGGTAGGTGTTTCAATGATCACAAGACAGAAGAGTAAAGAACAACAGAACAAATTAAAGCCATGATGGCAGCATGGGTGAAGAAGGAAGTAGAATTTTGGTGATACACAATGAACAGTTTTAAGATTAAATGGCTGGAAATTGTGAAAGGGAAGGGAGATGGGAAGTCTAGTAGGCAGCTGCTGCCCCCTTCTGGGTCAGTTAAATTTTGAGGAGAGCTCAAAAGGAAAAATATGTGAAATGGCAGTCTTGGAGGAATAGCGAGAGACGATCAAGGTAGAGCACTACTTACTCTGTGCCGCTGCAACTCATATAAGCAGAGGCTTGGGCTTTTATTGGTCTCAGAAACTTAGCTCCAGAATGGAGTAGAGTCATAACTGAAGGCCATTCTGTCTCTGTTATCGCCTGGACCAGCAGAACGGCTAAACGCCCTCTGTGACTAATAAAACTATACGAAAAAATTTCTCCTTTCTCAAGTAATACAGGAATAGCAGACTCCATAGCCAAATCAGGACTATCAAAGTCCTCTATTTTCAATGACCAATTATGTACTGGAAATACATAGCATACACAGCGAGAGATGAGAATCTGCTCTCCATGGCCTTTGTCAGATGAGAATTTTGTGCAGTCATCATTTCATTGCTTATGATTTTGAAGTTTTGTGGAGAGATTAATGTACAATTGTAAGAAGTTTTAAATGAGAGAAAACTAGGTAGAATTCAAAAAAGGAATGGAAAAGTGATGAGGGCATACCTGATGCAGAGGTAACAGAAGAGTGAAGCAAGGAAACTGAAGTGTTGACAAAGAGGGGTTCCTTGGAAACACTGAAACCAACTACCCAGTTGGCCATTTGGTAGAGAGAGAAACCCAACAACACATTGAGCAGCTCCTTCCTTCCATTGAAAACAATCTCAAAAACCAGAGACACCGCCCACAAGAAAAGAGTTGCCACAAAGAACACACCACAGTTCTGGTTCTCCTTCCCCATCTCTCTACAAATCTCTCAATTCTCACTCATGCAGCAGAACCCATCTCTCTCTCTCCCTTCTCTTTCTCTCTCTTGACTGTGCCTAGAGAGAGGACTTTCTCTCTCTTGGGGAGAATGAAGGGCATGCTTTTGCGAGCTGGGAGCAAAGTCGTCTGCTTTAGGATAGCTTCGCGCCATACCCAAGGCGTGGGAGGACCTACATGACACGTGTCTAGCCATGATCATGCCAGCATTCCCAGTATCGTTGTGCATTTAAATTTGGAAAAGTGTTTCATGCGGGCTGTGGCTGGAATTCTACAATATGCGGTTCCAGAAAGTATCCGTCTTGGATGAATGCAAATGGGCTGTCCTCCTAAAAAAAACAACTAGGTCCAAATGTTTTTTTAATATAATATTATTTTTATTATATTTATTTTTATTTTTTTCATTCATAGTCTCGATTATATATTCTCTGTCAAATTATATTTAAAAAATATATTTATTGCCAAACCTGCATTGCTACAATATGCGGGATGGCCGCAAAGAAACCGTTTCTTGGGGAAATATTTTCGCAACTTGTCCTACGGAAAAAAGAAATTGCGCTGGACCACCCGAACACGCACACCCAAAACGCGGCCACAGGTTATAGAAAATTGTTTCATGCATACTGGACCGTATTTCTATATTATACAGTCCCAAAGTATAAAACATCAATTTTAAAGATAGATGAAAATATGTAGTCTATCTAAAAACAATTGAAAATAACTTATCAAATATTTTTAATAGAATTGTTATTTTTAATTTTTAAAATTTATTAATTTATTAATATTTTTTATGTCTATGTTAAAAATTACATGTCCTTAAAAATTTAAATCCAAAAGACCATCTCAAAAATATATTTTTAACGAGGTGACTCATGTCTATAAGGACGGATAGAAACCGTGTCGGTCATACCTGATGCCGTGGTAAGCAAGGAAAGAGTAGGTGTTGACAAAGGGAGATCCGAAACGCTAAATCCAACTACCCATTGGCCTTTTGGTAGAGAGACAAACCCAACAACACATTGAGTAGCTCCTTCCTCGCATTGAAAATTATCTCAAAAATCAGACGAGAGTTGCTATAAAAAACACACCACCGTTCTCCTTCCCATCTTTCTACAAAACAAAACACATAAATGAAGTTAGAAAATTAGTGGAAAAAAATAAATTTTAAAAAATTTATTTATATCCAAAGGTATTTTTGTTTTTTTTTTTTAAAATAAGAAAATATAAAAAATAATTATTCACAACACTTTCCAATCTTTGCCAAAATGATAAAAAACATTAAAATATAAATTTTTGTTTGTATTTATTAGAGAAAATTACAAAAAAACCCTCAAGACCACAAACTTACCCCAACCTAACTTTTTCTCTCATTTTTTTCTCTAAAATAAACTTTCTATACAAATACATCTTCAAGGGAAAAAATTTATTTTTTAAACAGAAATGCCCTCCTCATACACAAAAATCATTTTGGACAGATTTGATATTAACTTTTGGACCCAGTAGCACATTACCGGAGCGCACCATCATATTGGCAGAGCGCACAAGTGTCGGACCGCCATTTGCAACTGCAAGACCACAACTGTCGGACCGCCATTTGCAACTGCAAGACCGCAACTGTCGGACCGCCATTTGCAACTGCAAGACCGCAACTGTCGGACCACCATTTGCAACTGCACGACCGCAACTGTCAGACCGCCTTTTTCAATTGCTGCAGTAGGTGCTGGAGCCCCTATTTCTGTGGGATAGAGGAGAGTGGCGTGCGTAAGGTAAAACTGAGGGAGGGTAGTTTAGGCATTTTTTTATTTTTTATGTGATTAGGGAGTTTTTACATAAAAAGTATATTTTGAGGAAAAAAAATGAGAGAAAAAGTTAGGTTGGAAGTAAGTTGTATATAAAGTGTAGTTTTGGAGTTTTTTTTATAATTTTCCTTATTTTTTATTATAACTTGCTCGATAACAAAAACCAATCAAAACCGGAATCGCCCAATGCCCAATTCTGATCTAACCACATTGTTTTGAGTTGAACCGACCGAGTCTGAGAATTCTAGGGAGACTACATGAGGTAAGAACTAGGTTGGATTTCTACAAAGAGAATAAGATGGTGGAGAAGAACATGTTGGGTTTTTAAAGAGAGAATGTGAGAAGAATGAATAAGAGTTAAGTTTTTATGGAGAATGTGAGAAAGAGAAGAGCTTAAAAATTAGGTTTCTAGACAGATAGACAATGGGAAGGAAGAAGCCCTGAAAAAAAAAAGAAAAAAAGATGAGAAAAAATGAAGCCTTAATATTTTGTTTTTAAAAGGGGGACAAAATAGTTGATTTATGCTCCTACATAAAGAAGGGGAGCCAAAGTAAAAAATAAACGGCCAATAAGTCTTATATCCTATATATTGCAAATAAAATCTAGTGAGGCTTTTTTATTTAAAGTCATTTTTTTGTTTTTACGAAATTACCCTTGCTTTCGACCTTCAACTTATAAAGTTTTAACTTATCTATAAATGATTGTTTTAGTGTTATGCATATAGTTAACTCAGACCTTAAGGGGTCGTTTGGATATCTGGAAATATATTGTATGTAAAATATATTATTGACGTAATCAGTGGTTTAAACAACGGATCGGTGCCCCAGATCGGGCACTCCAAAAACCCATCCAGATCGGTTTATCGACGATCCGGATCGGAAATCATCTGACTTGGTTCGATTAAGCTTTAAAAAAATTCAAAAAAATTATTAAAATTCATTATAAATATTGTCTTTTAGAAATCCAATAAGAAACGATGGTACTACATTGTTAACTTTCATTTTTTCATCAATTTGTGAATATTGAGATGTTCTTTTCTTGTATAAACTTATGTTAATCATTAAATTTACATCACACAAAAGAAAAATCATAGAATTATCAGTGATAAAATATATCAATCATACATAGACTAAAATAAATAGTAGACTAAATCGATGAAAAAATGGTCATTAAAATCTCGAATTGACAGAAAACCCTAATTCGCTAAAAAACCCAAATTATTATAACCTAATTATAATCCATAAATGTTACCACCTAACTAACTATAATAATATACTGAAATTAAAATTGTTGGTTAACATTTTATGATTATTTTATTATACAAACAATAACAAATCTAAAATATTTTATAATATCATCTAATTTAAAATGTATTATTGACAGTTGTAAGAAAAATAGTACATTACATGATTTATAATACAAAAGTTAATAAATAAAATAAAATTTTGGTTATCAATACAAAAATTATTTGAATGTGTACAAATTTTCGAAATAGCACTTCAATTTTCAAAATTTTAATTTTTTCGATTCTAGAATAAATTTAGTACAAAAGATTGTTAATAGAAAGATAGAATTTCAAATGGAATTTTTTTTTTTTAACAACAATATTTTCGAAATAACACTTCAATTTTTTAAAATTTTAATTTTTTAGATTCTAGAATAAATTTAGTAAGAAAGATTGATAATAGAAAGATAGAATTTCAAATGGAATAAATTTTTTTTTAACAACATTATTTTTTGCTTATTTTTTATTTTTCTTACAACAAAAATAAAATAATGTAACAAAAATAAAATAATGTAGCGCGCTCGAGCTAGGGTTCGAACCTGAGGCGTCCTTCAACAAAAAAGAAGCAATAACCATAAAGCCACACTGTGGCAAGTGTAATAGCTTTACATATTAATAATAATTATTCAATGTCTATTTTAATTTAATACACCTTGTGGGAATTATCCCACATCCAAGAATGAGTATGACAGTGTGTGATATAAATAATTTCGTTATGCTTTGTTACATGCACACGTGAAAACACGGGGCTGCGATGCTGTGGTGTTGAAGGCCTGCCACGTGTAATTAAGTTTTGAGGCTTGCTTTGTGTGATTGAGAACCGGTAAAAATTGATGTTTTGAGGCTTGCCATGTGTGATTGAGAACCGGAGAGAACCGATAAAAAGTGATGTCATGTGACCGGTTAGCTATGTCATGTAACCGGTTCTCCCCGATTTGTGACGTCTATAGGCGGTTTATAGTTCAGAACAACCGGTTCTGATCTAGAACCGGGCGGTTCCCGGTTTAGAACCGGATAGTTCCCAGTTTTGCGAAGTAATCGGTACGTGGTTACTGATTCCTGTGCCGACTCGGGCGAGTCTATTGCCACTCGCCGATTTTTAAACCACTAGACGTAATACATCACTGTGTAATACATTATCTGACATAATATACTAGACGTAATACATCACTGTGTAATACATTACCTGGCATAATACATCACTGTGGAATACATTACCTGCAAATGGATTGTTTAGATGCAACCTGAGAAATACATTGCTATTGTTTGGCTATGTCTGGAAGAAATATAGGAAATACATTACCAACATTTTACTAGCACGTGCCTATAAACTATCATTTCTTTCTTTTTTGTCACAAAATTCTAATGAAATGTGAAATTCAAGTCATCATCACACCATTCCAAAAAGATTTTTTAATAATAACATCATCACCATTCTAGAGAGAGAGAGAGAGAGAGAGAGAGAGCGAGAGAGAGAAATCAATATAAGCAACGTGTATCATAGTTTGTTTAATTTTAGCTGCATCATGTATCATACTCTGAAAATTTTAGCAGTATGTAGCTCACCTTGATTATAAAAATAATGCACCAAAATTCATATAAGAGAGTGCCAAAATAATTCACTGTTGTTCATATCAGATATAACCTAAACTCTAAAGAAATTTCCTAATTTGTAGAGAGAGAGAGAGAGAGAGAGAGAGAGAGAGAGACGAACCA